CGGGCCCCTGCACCACCACCTGCCTCGCCCACCACACATCTCAATTGTGACATTCGTCCTTTTGGCGCGCCCAAGAGAGCCTTCCACTCGGCCTCCAGCGACAGCTCCTTCATCGTCACCTGCCACACCTATCTCGTACCTCATGGGGAGCTCTTTCTTCCGCACGCCCCAACGGTAGCGTCCCATTCACGGCCCCCTGCACCGACTCCTCTTCCAGCCCCTCAACTGCCATTGACAACGCCCCTCTCCCATCCGAAAGCAACCTCGTCTCCTTCGGTTCATGCACCACCACCTGCCATGCCCACCCCATTGACACATTTCTCTTTCCTCGGGTACCTATTGTTATGCCACCTCCACCGACATTTCTTACTATGACCCCTGCACCTTCCACGCCTACCGTACACATCATCTGGAACATCCTCCCTCCTCCCGCACCCACACAACTCCTCCCACTCGTCCTCAAGGAACAGGTTCTTTTGCGGTCCCTGTACCATCTGCCACGCCCTCCCTACACCGCAACTCCGGTTTTGCTTCGTCCTTGAGCATCCACGGTTGCGCCTCGAGCTCAACCCCCAACGAAGGAACCTGGGAAGAAACCACTGGCGGATCCAGGGGGAGGCCGTGGGGGCCACGTCCCTCTCCAAATGGCGAAGAGTTTTCTTTTTTCTTCTTTTATTTGCCCAAAATTGATTTTAATACGTATTTATGTTCGGATTATGTAATTTTTTGAACAAGAATATTGTTTAATCATGTCTACAGCACATAAATAATATGCAATAATGATATAATATTCAATTTATATGTAATAACAAATATGTTTTTTATTTAACAAAATTTTAGGATGGCTCCCTCCAAAATGAGCCGCTGGATCCGCCCCTAGGAGAAATCACCATGCTTTCCGACTGTATTGCGTTGCCGGGTCGCTTCATCGAGCTGGGTTGATTCTCCGTCACCTACAGGCATAAATACAATCTACTCTACAGAGACTAGCGACCATGATTGTTGAAGTGTCAGGAAAGATCCATAAATCAATTAATCACGTCGGTGGTAGATAGGTGACTCTAGTTCCAATGCTGTGTCGAATTCTTTCATTTAATGGAAAATCCTAGCGGCCGGTTGCTCTAATCGATAGTTTTCCATGGTTTCAGTTAACAATTCCATACGAATGCCGAAACAGTGCACTCGCGTTAGGACCATGGATCATGCGCGATGTTTCTTTCCCCAACATTTTTCTTGAAATTCTCTTACCTTCTTCACGCACTTATATTTACTGGTACTACACTATCACAATGGCGGAAAACCAGACGGAAAATGTTATGTGTTCCCGATGTACGCAGTGTGCCAAGCGGCGAGATATGCGGCTGGAGTCAAATCTTCAAGATCACGTGTAGAACGAAGTCGATAATCATGTGCGGTTTGAGCGTTTAAGGATGTACTCCCGATTTCTGCCGAAATATACTATACACTTCCACATAGGGGACTGATCGCCTCGCTTGTAGCCGCGATCAATGGGCTCTAAAAATGTGTAATTGATTGGAATCAGTGTGCCATTAGAAAATGAGTCAATGATCGGAATCAATGTGCTCTAAAAATGTGTCATTGATCGTAATCAATGTGCTCTAGTTGCACAGTTGGCTTACGGTTCCCAGCATGAGCGCCTTCTTAAAGTGCCCTCGTTCCCTTCTTCTAAAACAAGACTAATATCAACGGGCTTTTATCTATATAACAGCTATGTGCTTTCGAGCCACATTGGCGCGATGGATGGGAAGACTGGTTAATACCGCGGTTGCTGCACCTGGAATAACTGTTTTCAAGGGGACATCTGTAGATACTAAAAGTAGCACAGACGTAAAATACGCACTCACGCACACACATTGTAAGACAAGTATTACTTGAAAAGTTGACTACTTGTTGTATATACTTATGAAAAAAAATTCGGCGATATGCGTTCACGCAAAAGGTGTCGCATTTTTCATCTAGATTCTTGATGATTAGTAGCGTTAAAATCATTATAAATAGAATATGATTACATTCGTTAATTCAGCTTTATAACATTTAATTATGCTAACAATGTTCAAAAGTTACCAGCACGTGTCAGGACTAATATTGTAATCAGTGTTTTCTATGTTTTCTGTAACTCTCGTTTTGATCATAACTGGATACCAAAACGTCAAGCTTACAGGGCTGCAATACTTACCAGATGTGAACACTAAAACGCCAGGTTTACAGAATTGCAATATTTACTAATATTATCTATTTATTGGTAAGTTAAGAAATATAGTACTTACAATTACTTCTGATTTCATTTCAACAGTAAGGCTGCCCTTCCCAATCCGCCAGTTAGACACAGTACTCAAAGTCTCGTTAGGTGTGCTGCAAGGATTAATTAGCAATCGTAAACACGAAAAACATTAAAGATTTTTAAACTTTTTTTTTTCATTTTAAAGGTTTAGGACACAATAAATTTCCTTTCTGTGATTTAAAATATAATATTAAGTTTAATTCACGAAAAAGAAGAATTTTAATTGTTCAATCTTTTGGCAGAAACAAGATATTTTAGAAATGAAACAGTAAATAAAAGGATATGTCTTGGCTATATAAGAAACGACTCGTTCTCAGTCTCAAGCAAGAATGGAAAAATTACAAGCGTGAGTCAGTCACTCCCTTGATGTTTATGGTTCTTAGTAAATGAATCAATCTGCGGAATGAAAATCTCATCTTCGAAACGATATCCATACTTCCCTCACCCAATTATTAAATGGTTCTCAGGTTAGAGATATAAGAGTCGTCCAAAAAGAATCTGTCCTAAATTATTAAAAAAACAACAAGAATAAATTACCAACAAATGTTAATGTACCTCATTAAATCCTTTCATTTCTCAACATTGTTACGCACCTTGTGTGGATGTTGTTCAGTGAGAAACATAGCCCCATCTCTGTCTCCAGAGGAAGGAAATGTTGGCAACAGTTGAATGGTTGTCCTTTCCACCAACAAGAAAACAGCACCTCCGAGCAGGGACTGCGAATCTGTGTGAAAGAAATAACCAAGACGGTCAAGCTAAGGCGATATTTGCCCGCCCAGAGTCCAAAGAGTCTCAAAGCCAGGACTGACACTCGCCAAGAGCCCTGGATTCCGAAGAAGGAAAAGGAAAAAACGAAATGACAGGAGCAGCACATTCCTGGGAAGTTTTCACAAAAGCGTCGGCAAGGATGTTACAGACACAGTTGACTGCTCTCCCCCGGTACCCTGTCATTACTACAATGTTAATAACTATTTCTCTAAGTTTGGTTCTACGAACATTCTGAGAAGATGCATACCATAATGATCAGTAATGAGCATATGTCTAAAGATTCATAGTAAATATGCCTTTTTTGCAGCAGCCAACAATTTGAAATCTCGTTTCGATCTACTTGAAAATAAATATAAAATGCAACTGCAAATACTGTAATTGCATATTACTAGAAATACGAATAAAAATAATAATTACAACAACAATAATAATAATAATAATAATAATAATAATAAGTCACCTTAAAACCTACAATAATTTACATATATCTATAATTTGAAAACACTACAGACCAAAATTCACCGAGGGTGAAAAATAAGTTAGTCAATTTTATGTTCATAAAAGCCGTGTATTATCTCTGTAATATTCAAGAAAATAATAACATTTTATTTATTGTTCTGAGCATTATCCACATCATTTTGTCAGCTAATTCTCAAATTTAAATTAATAAACGCGGCCACCATGACATGAATACGCCGCCCTCTGCTTGTAAACATTGATGTTAGAGGCTACTAAAATAGTTTTAGAAACATCCGAACATTTGGAGAGATGTATTTGAAATTCGATTTTGAAAATTTGAACAACAATGTTTTGTTGGACTTAAGGGCCGGGTCGGGACTTGCTCTTGGCTAAGGGATCGTTATAAAAGCACATACTTACTCACCCCTTCGTAAAGGTTATGTAATATTATACCGCAATTTTGTTTTGCAATTTTCGAAAGAAAACGAGTAAAACCCGAAAATGAGACTAGCACCATATTTCTTATTGTTTCTTACTACATATGTGGAGAAAATTTAAACAAAATATTTGGTTTGTTTTTTAAGAACCTTTTTTTTGTAAATTTCAATCGCAAAATACGCAAAAACTACGTGTTTATTCAAAAACATATACATGGCCTTTTTGGAAGGCAAACATTTTTAACTTCAATTTTATTGTTTGAAAATGTGTTCTTTTTAATTAAAAAAAGAGCAATATTCGAAAATATGACTACTACCATATATTTTATTGTCTCCTATTATATAAGTGAAGAAATTTTAAAGAAAAAAATTGGAGCGGTTTTGGAGAATTTATTTGTAAATTTCAATCAAAAAAACGCAAAAACTACTTCTTGTATACTTTGTAAAAAACTGTATATAGCCTTTTTTGAAGACATAATTTAGTTCAACAGACTTTGTCTGAGACAAAAATCTCTATATCCAATTTTGAAGTTTTCAATTTTTTTTCCAATTTTCGAAAATTGGGGATGTCAGAAAAAATGAAACCCCCACCATTCTCTCAAACGTCTTTGATCGTATTCAACAACAAAATTTAATCAAAAAATTTAGAGCCATTTTTTGAAAATTTTGAAAATGTCCCAGGGCTTTATGAAAAGTATCCCCAAAATTAAAATATCGCTATCAAATTCCAGAGACTGCGACATGAGCTAGAACGATTGGGAATATTAATTTTGGAAAAAATCGGCTTAACAGTTTATGCGCTAGCATGGTGAACAGACGGCGGACAGACAGACATACGTTTTGCCGTCATTCGATTTTTCGGTATCAAGGACCAACAAAACAAGAACTCTTACTATACGATTTTTTTATATGTAACAATTGGATTTAACCACTTTTTGCATACTAGGGCCCGACATTAAGATTTTTCTCACGAAAATTCGAGGTTTTCCGGCGCACGATTACAATACTTTCTCTTCTTACGTTTGTAAGTGAGAAAAAGTAAATACTTAGTGCCCGTAAAAAAAACGTAAATGTTAATACTTGGTGCCCTGCTACTCAATGGAATCATTCACATAAGCGAACGTGAACATAAAACATAAGGTCTAAACAATCACAAAGCTTTCACATTCGATTTGATCTCAGAACAACATAATATCATGTACCGCAGCAAGATGGCGAGACAAAAAAAGTCTAGTGTTTTCGTTAGACTGAAAAAAATGTGGTAAGACACTCCGTAGAACCATTGATGGAACTTACTGTAAACAAAAAAGGGTCTCATCCAAACAAGAGAGCGTCCTTTTTACTAACTTTCTTTCAATTTCATGCAGAGACTTAATGGAATCGATAATAACAAGATGAGTACCGCCGAGTAGAGGTTACGGCGGCAACTACGAGTTGCGGGATGTGCGGATTCAAACCCGACATGGTTGCTTGCTTTGATATGGTGACATAGAAGAGCCTACACTAACAGCCATGTAGCTCATTCAAAAAACCTATGCCTTCAAAGTCCTCCGCCGTATAAAGTGTATGGAAACGTTGCTGCATACGTGCGCAGGAGTTAAAGTTCCATAATCAATCAATAGGCCGCTACATGAGCTCCATCTGGCCGCCAACTCCTTCTCGTAACATGGTGCAAACGCTGACTCGGGTTTACGAGCTACCAGCAGCAGGAGGCAGCTGAGCTTACGATCTACAGCGGAGTTAAGATTTCTCAGCTTCCTCAGGGCGGTAAAATGGCAACAACTGAGGACAGAGGTAGAAACTCGATAACCGAGAGATTAAACTGACATAAAACATGCCCCAATAATGATAATATCGACGAAAGACTATTCCGGGAGAAGTGGCTCAGTGCATCAACTAATGTTACTGCAGTGCCTCTGGCCGGGAGATCCTAGGTATGATTCCCGACAGTGGCAATATTTTCGAAACTAGCTTGTGAGCTAGGTCGAATTCAGTCGCTGTCTAGAGAAGTGTAGATGCCGGCTGCTCTAACCGCTAGTTTTCCGTGCTTTCTCCGATCAATACCAGGCGAATGCCGGAGCAATACCCTAACAAAAAGGCCACACTGCGCGCGACCTTCCTTTCCCCTTCCTTGAAGTCGCCTCAACCCTTACACACACACTAACATGCACTACACTACCATAAATACTGGGAGACCGGTCGTGATCTTACAGCTTGTACCAGTTGGAGAGGTACCCCGCTGGAGGGAGATATCTGGTTGGAGGAAACCTCGCTAGACAACGGTATGTCGGCACCAAATCTCTCCATCCAGCGGGTGAAGATCTCCGCCATTTCCCCAGGAAAAACAATGCACTACACTTACGGGACTAATGACATGAGTAGTAGTCACGCTCGGAATGTCTAACAACCAAGCAACCAACGAGTGTCTATGTTCCCGTTTCCGTTCCTGGTCAATGTGAATGGTCCGTGTAGTTGGGCGTGGCGACGTACCTCGCGCGCCATCTCGCGCAAGCCGTCCTGCGGGCAGCGCATGCGCGGGGGCCGGCCGCCCAGGCCGCACAGCTGCGCCAGGTAGGGCGCCTCGCTGTACGGGAAGAAGGCCATCTCGTTGAGCAGCTCGTCCACCAACGGGTTGCGCCCTGCCCCGAACAGCCTGCGCCGACAACACACACAACATTACGCGAGTGTCGCCTCTGCTGTGTGCCCGGACAGACGTACCAGAAAGCCGGTTTGTCAAACTATTGCCGCAAGGGCGCAGTAGTTGCAGCAGTAGTGTCAGCCGCCTCAGCGAAATAACGGCCGGTTTCACCACCATTACTTAAAATTGTAAGTTCGTCTTAGAGTTTTAAGGTAGACTTACCAGATATTTCCGTTTCACCATACCCTTTAAGGCGAAATTCAACGATAAGTTTGACGTAAACACTATTTTCAGATACACTATATATTATAGCACTACGTTGCAATATTTTTTGTCCTATCTACCATATACGGCCCTTAGGTGACCCATAGCGGATATTCTTGCGATGATGAAATATTCAGGGTGGTTTCCCGTTGCCTTCCCCTAAATGATGATGATGATAATAGGGGGTGAAAGGACAAACACAACACAACCATGCCCGAGTGCGGGACTCGAACCCGCGATCCTTCGGTCCGAGGTTCGGCCACCGGAGCGGCACGTTGCAATGAATAGTGTCAAAATCACCACCATATTGTCGAGTATTGCTTTCGATAGTGATTGCTGCGACAATTATGAAAATGAGACCCATGAGAAGCCGAGGAGGAAAACGGGAATGGGTAGAATATTGTGAAGAGTTCTATGAAAGAGGTTTGACGGCCCGATTTCCCCTAACAAAGATGACAACACTGGACCTCTTGAAGCTCATAGAAGACTGATTGGACTATCCAAGATTATTTCTCAGTTTATTTTTATTAACGAAATGAGCAATTAAAAAATTTGGTACACAACTGTCACGCAACTAACAATTTTGTGTCACTAGTGTTTTGTAGGTTATGTTTACATGATCCAGTAGCTACTATACACTACGAAGTTTTACATTAAGAAAGTTTTATTGCTACTTCACTTATACTTAACCATCTTCACAAATTCACTTAATGTTTATTATAAATTATCATGTAGCTCGTTGCTTTAAAATCGTGTTTAATGTTATCCAAAGCATCATTTTTTTTTGTTTTCATATTTGTAACTTAATTTTCCATAGTACAAATGTCCTTTCCCATATATTCGATTAACATTTTTTCTCCAACGATTCAAATTTTGCATGACAAAAGATCGATGAGCATCATTTCCGCCCAATACATACTATGACAAGCTAAAACTTTCAAGCGCCCCCGGGTGGGCTCGAACCACCAACCTTTCGGTTAACAGACGAACGCGCTAGCCGATTGCGCCACGGAGGCCGACGGTTACCGCTTCTTCGCCGTGATTTCGCCCCAATACATACTACGACATGCTAAAAGTAGTATTCGCCCCCGAGTGGGCTAGAAACACCAAGCTTTCGGTTAACAGCCGAACGCGCTAGCCGATTGCGCCACGGAGGCCGCAGCTTAGCCGTTCCTCGCCGTGATTTCGCCCCAATACATACTATGACATGCTAAAACTATCATGCGCCCTCGAACACTAACCTATTCGGGTAACAGCGAACCGCGCTAGCGAATGCCCGCCACGGAGGAGGCAACTGGTAGCCCGTCTCCTCGCCACATCGCAAACGTGAATGTTCGCCAATACTTACTAATGACATAGCCAAGAAACTATCATCGCAGCCCCGAGAGTGGCTCGAAACACCCAAACTTTCGGTAACAGCCGAATCGCCGCTAGCGATTGCGCCACTGGGAGGCCGCTGCGCCTTTAGCCGTCTCGCCGGATTTCGACCCCCCAATAACATTACTATAGACATGCTAAAACTATCATGCGGCCCCCGGGTCGTCTCGAACCACAACCTTTCGGGTAACCAGCGAACCGCGCTGTCCGCATTTGCGCCACCGGAGGGCCCGCTGCTTAGCCGTTCCTCGCCGTATATTCGGCCGCCCCCAATACATTACTATGAATGGGCTTTAAAACTTATCATGCGCCCCCGGGTGCGTCTCGAACCACCAACTTTTAGCCGTTACACAGCCGAACGCAGGTAGCCCAAATTGCGCCACGAGCCGCCTGCTTAGGCCGTTCCCCTCGCCGTTGCAATTTCGGCCCCCCCAATACATACCGTATGACATGCTAAAAACTATTCATTGCGCCCCGGGTGTCTCGAACCCACCAACTTATTCGGTAAACAGCCGAAACGCGCTAGCAACATGCGCCACGGAGAGCCGGCTGGCTATCAGCCGTTCCTCGCCGTGATTTCGCCCCAATACAACATATTGACAATGCTAAACTATCATGCGCCCCCGGAGTGTCTCGAAACCACTAACCCTTTCGGTTTAACAGACGGAACGCCGCTACCGATTGGCCACGGAGCGCCACTGGGTTAGCCGTTCCCTCGCCCTGATTTCGCCCAATACATACTAGTTGAAATGCTAAAACTATCACGCGCCCCCGGGTGGTCTCGAACACCAACTTTTCCCCCGGTTAACAGCCGAACGCGCTAGCGATTGCGCCACGGAGGCCGCCTGGTTAGCCCGTTCTTCTCCACCTGAATTTTCGCCCCAATACTATACTATGAATGGCTAAAACTATCATGCGCCCCCGGGTGCGTGTGGCTCGGAAGCCACCAACCTTCGTAACAGCGAACGCTTGCTAGCGATTGCGCCACGCGAGGCCGCCTGGTTAGCCGTTCCTCGCCGTGATTTCGCCCCAATACATACTTATACATGCCTAAAAACTATTATGCCGCCCGGCTGTGCGTCTCGAAACCACCAACCTTTCGTCGTTACACAGGCCCGAACGCGCTAGCCGCATTGCGCCACGGAGGGCCGCTGGTAGCTGTCATCGCCGTTGACTTTCGCACCAATACATACCTAAAGCGACATGCTAAAACTACAGGCGCCCCGGTTGGTCTCGAACCCAAACTTTCGGTTACAGCCGAACGCGCTAGCCGGATAGCGCCACGGAGCCGCTAGCTTAGCCGTTCCTCGCCGTGATTCGCCACCAATACATACTATGACATGCGTAAAACGTCCATGCGCCCCCGGGTGGTCTCGAACCACCAACCTTTCGGTTAACAGCCCGCCGAACGGGCGCTAGGATTGCGCCACGGAGGCCGCTGGTTAGCGTTCTCGCCGTGATTTCGCCCAATACATACTATGACATGCTAAACTACCATGCGGCCCCCGGGTGGGTCTCGAACCCACCAAACCTTTCGCGTTAACAGCCAAACGCGCTAGCCGATTGACGCACGGAGGCCAACTGGTTAGGCCGCTTTCCTCGCCGGATTTCGCCACAATTACATACTATGACATGCCTAAAAACTATCATTGCCGCCGCCGGGTGGGCTTCCGAAACACCCACCCCAACCTTTCGGTTAACAGCCGAACGCGCTAGCCGATTGCCGCCACGGAGGGCCGCTTCTTAGCCGTTCCTCGCCGTGATTTTCGCCCCAATACATACTATCGACATGGCCATAAAAACATAGCCCATTGCCAGCCCCCCGGTGGCGTCTCCGAACCCACCAATGTCCTCTCGGTTAACAGCCGAACCCGCGCTAGCCGATTGCGCCACGGATGGCCGCTGCTTAGCGCGTCCCTCGGGCCGTGATTTCGCCCCCCAAAATACATACTATGACAAATGCTAAAACTTCAATGCGCCCCGGTGTGAGCTCGAACCACCAACCTTTCGGCTTAACAGACGAACGCGCTAGCCGATTGCGCCACGGAGGGCCGCGTTACCTTAGCGTTCTCTCGCCGTGATTTCGCCCCAATACATACTACTGACATGCTAAAAAATCTATCATGGCCCCCTCCAGGTGCGGCTAACGAAAAACCCCAACTTCTCGCGTTAACAGCCGAACGCGCTAGCCGATTGTTGCGCCACGCCGAGGCCGCAGCTTAGGCCGTTCCTCGCCGTGATTTCGCCCCAAACATACTGAATGAATGGCTAAAACTTCATGCCCCACCGGGCGTGTCGTCGAACTACCAACCTTGCGGTTAACTAGCCGAACGCGCTAGCCGATTGCCGCCACGGAGGGCGACGTGTTAGCCGTTTCCTCGCCGTGATTTGCCCCAATACATACTACGACATGCCTAAAAGTAGTATCGTCCCCCGGGGGTGGGCTCGAACCACCAACATTTCGCCCGTTAACAGACGGACGCGCCTAGCCGATTGCGCCCACGGAGGCGATGCTTAGCGCCTCCTCCCATGATTTCGACCCCCCAATTACATACTATGACATGCCTATCCAGTCATTATGCCCCCCGGGTGCGGCTCGAACACAACTTGTCGCCGTTTAAACAGCACGGAACGCCGCTAGCCGATTGCGCCACGGGAGGCCGATGCTTAGCGCCTTCCTCGCCATGATTTCGCCCCCAATTAC